TCCACAGCTTCTCTGGGCAACCTGTTCCAGTGCCTCACCACCCTCACAGTAAAGGATTTCTTTCTAATATCTAGTCTAAATCTGCTCTCTTTGAATTTAAATCCATTATCCCTTGTCCTGTCGCTGCATGCCCTTGTAAAAAGCCCCTCTCCATCTCTCCTGTAGGCACCCTTTAAGGACTGGAAGGCCGCTATAAGGTCCCCCCAGAGCCTTCTCTCCTCCAGGCTGAACAACCCCAACTCTCTCAGCCTGTCCTTATATGGGAGGTGCTCCAGCCCTCTGACCGTCTTCAGGGCTCTCTTCTGGACTTGCTCCAACAGGTCCAGGTCTTTTTTATGTTGGGGGCCCCACATCTGAACACAGTACTCCAGGTGGGGTCTCACGAGAGTAGAGGGGGACAATCACCTCCTTCAACCGGCTGGTCATGCTTCATTTGAAAGGACATGGTTGGCTTTCTGGGCTGCAAGTGTACATTGCTGGGTTATGTTGAGCTTCTCATCAACCAACACCCACAAGTCTTTCTACTCAGGGCTGCTCTCTATGCATTTTCCACCCAGCCTGTATTGCCTCAACCCATGTGCAGGACCTTGCACTTGGCCTTGTTAAACTTCATGAGGTTTGCATTGGCCCACCTCTCAAGCCTGTCAAGGTCCCTCTGGATGGCATCCCTTCCCTCCAGGGTGTCCACCACACCACACAGCTTGGTGTCATTGGCAAACTTGCTGAGGGTGCACTCAATCCCGCTGTCCATGTCTCCCACAAAGATGTTAAACAATACCAGTCACAATACCAATCCCTGCAGAACACCACTCGTCACCAGTCTACACGTGGACATTGAGCCATTGACCACAACTCTTTGAGCACAACCATCCAGCCAGTTCCTTATCCACCAACTTTTATCACCTCAGGTCAGTGCAGAAGGTAATGACAAAGACAAAACTTTTTCTCTGGAGTTCCTAGACCATGAAAGTGACTCAGGGTCTGCTGGAGAGTTAATTTAAAGGTGTGCTCTGCAGCATGAGTTTTAAGGCTGACTCAGAGGCTGAGAGATCCGTGATATTCCACATTGAATTATGATATCTGGAAGCTAACCCCACAGCTGCAGTCAACCAATACCATTTTGCAATCTTCAGGGCAAGTCCCAGAGCAAAAAGGTTAGCTCATGCACAGAGAACTAAGAAGTAAGCCATACAGAACCATACATTCTCTGTGTATTTATAAAATGCAGGAGTAAACAGCGTACTGTAGCATCTTGCATTCAAAAAGAGAGTCAAGATGATTTCTGTGTTGAGAGGCACCAGCCTCCTGTCACAATTCTCAGCTAAGCAAGATGCCCAGAAAAGCTGAGTGCTGGGAAGAAGGCAGCTTTTCCTGAGGTGTTAAATTTACAAAAAAAGAATAAGGACAACTACAAAGCAGCTGAGGTGCCATGAACACCAGTGACATATCAGATGATGGTGTTACTATAGTTCCTGTTCTGAAAGGAAGATGAATGTGAACCCTTCTGAAAGGAAGGTGAGGGATGTGTTTCACCTTTTTAGAGTGAAGTTCATTCTTCAGTTTCAGGTAAAAAATTTGTTTTACTGCTAATACACAGTGGCAAAGCAGAGGAGAGCTGCAAATTAATGCTATTCTTTAGCTATTATTTTGGTTTTATTACAGTGAAAAGTATTTACCCCAAATCTGATCCGAGCAGGAGTGATTTTTGTCTTTATTCCAGAGACACCTGGAAAAGCTTGAGAAGTGGGACTAAAGAACCTCATGAGGTTCAACAAGGCCAAATGCAAGGTCCTGCACTTGGGTCAAGGCAATCACCAGTATCAATACAGGCTGGGGGATTGTCCTGGTTTCGGCTGGGAGAGAGTTAACATTCTTCATAGCAACTAGTGAGAGGCTGTCTTTTGGGTTCATGCTGAGGAGAAGGCTGATAACATACTGATGTTTAGAGTTGCTGCCAGGACAGCCGAGGACTTTTCAGCTTCTCTGCTGTTCCAGTGTCTGCAGGTGCAGGAGAAGCTTGGAGGGAGCACAGCCCCAATTACTAGCCTGGGATTTGACCTTAGGTTTAGAATTGAGACCTGAATTGGCCAATGGTCTATTCCATATAATGCACATCATGCCCAGATGAGGACTGGTCTGGAAATATTCTCTTGCTCCAGGTCATCCCCCCTCTCTCTCGGTCAGCTCTTGACCTCTATCAAGGTTGTCTCACTCTCTCGGTCAGCTCTTGACCTCAGATGCTTAGGCTCTTATCTCTTTTCTGGGATTGTACTTTCAGGACTCTTTCTGCTCTAGGATCATTAGCCAGGAACGGACTGAGCCTTGGTCATCAGGTGGTGAGTAGTATCACTGTGTATCACTCATTTGTATATTTGTATATATCACTGTTATCATAATTATTATTCTTTTCAATAATATTGTAGTATTGTTCTTATCTCAACCCACGAGTACTTTTTTCCCTTTACCCCTTTAATTCTATCCCCCATCCTCAGGAGGGGGGAGGGTGAGCGAGCAGTTGATGTCTTGTTTTACTAGCCAGGGGTAAAACTGGACTGAGAGCAGCCCTGAGAAGAAGGGGTGTGTTGGTTAAAGAGAAGTTGAACAGAGAGGTTTTAGATGCCCCATCCCTGGAAGCATTCAAGGTCAGGTTGAATGGGCCTCTGAGCAATTGGATCTAGTTGAAGATGTCCCTGCTCACTGCAGGGAGGTTGGACTAGGTCATCTCTAAAGGTCCCTTCCAAGCCAAACTATTCTATGATTATGCAACAATAAGGAAGCCAACTATGAAAAAACCCCAACCCATACAGTGACTACCAGCTGTCAACTAATGATCCACCCTCCAAGACCAAATTGACTTTGCCTCCTTGCACTTTTTTGTTGAATGGTGGCAGCTATGGAACAGTAGGCAGTGGGAAACAAATGAAATATTCTCAGCGTTCAGAGAGAGAAATTTAATACTTTGGTCTCGCATGTGACTGGAGACGAAGGATATTTAAGACACTGTTTCCAGTTCCCCACCAGGGTATTCCTGAATTGTTGCACAGCCTTTTTAGTGCCTGCCGCTAAGAAGCTGTCTGCCTTGCCTCAAAAATGTCCTAACAGATCTTCCCCTTGTAGGCAGATCATCCCATGTGATCTTTCCTTATAACAGATTATAAACTTGATCAAAAGTAAACCCCACATTGAGAAACAAGTGAAGCATTCAGAAGTTTTACCTTTGTAGCTGAAAGAGGCAGCTACTGCAAGGGAAGAGTGATTTTAGACAGCTTGATACACTCCTGTGATGTGCGAGCACCCCGGTTTTATTCTTGCTATCAGCTTTTTCTCAACAGTGAACCTTTGCTTTTTGCCTCAGCACACCCACAGCAGTGCAACTGTCTCATAAGCCTTTGATGCTTCAGAATACACAGTTCTCAATAACTGCTTGGAGCACTTTGAGAATATAAAACCAGCCTTAATTATGTGTATATCCGTCGATGCCAGGTTGTCACCACAGGTAATTGTGCATGTGATTCTGTTCTCGAGACATATGGAGGCACCCAAGGCTCTCTACCGAGTTAATGTGTTTTAGAACCTGTATCTTTCCCCTGGCTTCCATATGCTTGCTTTTTGGGATGTGCTCCATGTGTAAAGATAATGCCAAAATGCATTTGCATTTTCTGTTACAGCCTGCTCCTGTGATTACAGCACAGTCAGATGATCTCATGGTAGTCAAGGACTTCAGTCAAAGTGCTCAGAGAATAAAGAAGCAACACAGATGCTGCTGTTGAGAAGTTTCCCTAAGAACTGTAAAAGGTAAGGGGAAGGAGAAAAAGTTACTATTTTCCTTCAGCATTAGCACTTTTCAAATGGAGCTCTCCATCTTTTTGTATGACAGCTCAAACTAGACTTTGGAAATGAAGCCCTGATCTTGGGGCAATAGTACTTTTCCCTTCTGATTTCAGCAATGTTTCACAGATTGCCCGAGAGCTTTCCTTCAAACTGCAGGAGCAGATTCACTCCTTGTTTAAGAACTTCAGGTTAGATGAACCAAATCAAGAATGATGTCACGCTGTGGCAAAACTGGAATATGTTTGGCTGTTATATCCAGGGTAGGCTCCATAATAATATAATGCTGCTGTTGATAAACACTAAGGGTAGGCTCCAGCATACACTGAGCAAGAAGGATAAAGAGGGTTTATTTGCTTTATAATAGTGTAACAGACATAACGAAGACAGGGAATTGCAAACAACTTCTAACATGTGATGTAATAAAAAGGATAAGGTGTTTTTATAAACCATGCATATTTTCCAAATTCTTACTGCAGAACACTTTTAAAACTTCCACATCTGCCATTATCAAAATTCAGAGTCAGAGCTGTCAACACAGAAACATTAGGAAGTTCACTTTTGTGTACTGAAAATGCCATTTACAGGAACAAGGGACCTGAACTGGACATAAGCATTTTAGAAGTGTTAGAATTGGCCTTGGTCCTCATGGGACAAAATTCATTATTTATTTTGCCATGTAGCTGAACTGGGAATCTAACAGGAACGATGTAGAAATTCATGAAAACTGAAATGGCAATGACCATTTGAAGGGGATCTGTCATGAAAATGCTATTTGCAAATGGTCTCCTCCTTTATATTGTTTTCAAGGTCATGAAATCCCTTCCTCTCCTTGTCGCTCCTTTCTCCCCACCTCTGCCAACTGTTTGAGTATTCTTCTTGTAAATAGATGCCAATACCTTTGGCAACTCTGCAGCATACAAATTAACACCCAGCTTGTCCTCGGAAGAACACAAGCAACTTCAGTAAGCAAACATTTATCTGTTCTTCCTATCTAGCAATATATTACGTTGACTGCAAACACTTCCACTCCAAGACTCCAGTGATATCATTCGGACAAGCCTCAAATGCCCTTCTCTCAAAGACACAGTCATAAGACTGGTAGTTACAGTGGTCAAGAATGCCTGACAGACCTGGAAGAAAACACAATTTAAACATAATACATGTCTTACCTGCTTATTCATAAGTATGTAGATAATGGGATTGCAAACAGTGCTGCTTTTTGCTAGGATGGAAGGTATGACACTTGCAACTGGAGTCACCACACCTGGCTTACCAAATGTTGCAAGTAATGCTATAACTCCATAGGGAATCCAACACACGAGATAACAGATAACTGTAGTGATCACCATGAACAGTATGCGGTATTCTCTTTTGCGGGCAGCATTCTTGTGGACTTTTCCAACCTAGGAAAAGGTGAAAAAAAAGATAGGATTTAAGAAGCTGAGCTGTTGGACTGATTGCCAGGAGAAGCTCTGTAGAGGTCATGCTTCATGCCAGTATAAATCAGAGTCCCAGTGGAGGTTGGAACAAAAGCCAAAAGGTGACTAACATAGTCCTTAATAGTTGATAGTCATTTCTTGTTGCCTTTCTGGTACAGTATTGTGTATAATTGTACAATATTTTCACTCACGTTATTCCAGTACATAGGACTTGCTTGAGATGGAGAAGCATTACAAAGCACAAGTGAATCAACAGCAGCATTTTCTTTTAGGGGTGTATAAACAGCAGAGCAACACTAGGACTGCACATAGTACCTCTGCCCTTGGATGTTCCCAAGGCTTGGCTAGATACAGCCTCAGCTGGCCTGGTGTACTGTTGGCAATGGCCACGCTTGGAGTGGGGTGCTAGAGAAGCCTTGCAAACAACACTTTTATGAAGTTTTCAGAGGTAGGATTCATCCTTTATAGACTATTTCTTCCAGGTAGTTTACAATTTTGATAAAGGGGACTGACTCCTGATAATCATCAAAACCACTCTTTTTGTGGTTTTAAAAAAGCATGCCAAATTCTGACATAGTTCAGCTACTGTATTGTTTTGTGGGGAAATGGAGGGGAACTCTGTAAACAGGAAGCAGAGATTTGAATGATCGGTTTTAATGTGATGGTACAAGAGCCCACCTTGCTATGATGAATTTATCACCAGTTGCATTCTGTGGGCAAACCCAACTCTGCTGTGGAAGTATTTAAAGCATCATCTGTCCTTCAAAATGTACTCTCTTTTGATCTGTTCTGGGCTAACGCATCAGAGTCTAGAACTCTAAGATGGAAGTTAAACATTAAAATAACAGACAATTTTTATTTTTAAGCTTTGATGTGAATGCATTTATCTGCAGACAACTACAAAACACTTTTTGGTGTGTTTGTACTGCTGAACACATTGGTGATAACCATGAGGAAAAAGCTTAATTCTCTACACAGAAGGCCCATTCAGTGCCATGCACAAGCATTATTTAAAAGCAAGCTTCTCGTGCAGTAGCTCTGTGAGACTGCCAATGAGTTTGATCCAAAGTTATGGAAGTCAGCACAATATTTGGGTGGGGTATAGAGCAGGTTTGGGCACTTAGCCTCATTTTATAGGGATTATGAAAAAACATTCAGAAAGGTTAACTCCAGAATAGCAAGGCTGGTCTCCCTAAGCATCTTTGCAGCCAACAAAGAAAAGCAAACTCTGCAAGGCATCTAATTTTGGAGCCAGTCTCTCTCCACTGACTCTAGATAGAACCTCAGCACACTGGTCTCCTGAGGTTATGGTTAATTCCTGAACTTCCCTCCAGTGTGTGTTTAGTGAACCAGCAGGATTTCAGGAAGTATTCAAATGTTTAAAGGATATCTATTGAGACTTTTACTCAGCTAAATGTAATTTATGTCCACTTTAAGATCTTTTTGCCTCCTGAATGCCGTACTTGAGAGTAAACTGCACCCAAGGGAACTAAGCCCCTGTAAAGCTTCTAACATAAGCATGTAAACATAAATAAGCAAAAAGGCAGCTGGAATGCAATGCATCCAAACTTCACCTACCAAAAAAAAAAAAAAAAGTTTAAAAGTAACAAGTTTAAGCTGAAGCAGGAGAACACTGATGTGCACAACTCTGTAAATGAATAGAAGAGTTAAAAGTGGAAGCCACTGATCACCCAAGTCCAATGTCATCTCCTGTTGCCTGGAGTACAACTTGTACACGTTAATACAGTGGAAATAGTCAGAGCTTTACCTACCTCTTTGTGGTATGGGTGTCTTTGCATAACATCTGTGCTTATGTATTGGAATGTAAGTTAAAAACATATAGTAACTGTGTAAGTACAAACGGAAGGCAAAATAATACGGTGACGCTGTTCGTTTTTAGTTAATTATGATTCTAGCCTTCTAGAGTAGTTGGTTCTATCTGGAGTTTCAGTAAAAATGTTTGTGTTGAAAGTAAATAAAATACACAAAAACTTAGTATGCCAAAAAATAGCAAGTATTTCTCCTGTCTAGTCTTTTAATGATTTTCTGCAAAAGGCAGTTACAAAAATAAAATTCATCCTTTCTGAAAACACCGGGGACTTTTTTTTTTTTTTGCAAGAACTGAACTTTTGTTTATCTCATAATTGCTTTTGCTTGAAAAAAGGATTAATAATAGATAATGGTCCAATCCTGTATTGCTTATTTGAACTAAATTTTTCATGACAAATGGGAATTTTGTCTGACTGAAGAATCCAGGATCCCATGTTAGCTGCAGCTATGTTACAAGATTATTATTAACCCAGGAATGCAAAGTCCCAGCTAGCCACAGCATCCACAGCTAAAGACCTTCAATAAATGCAGAGGCATCAATCAGCACATCTTCCCTCTGTGTTTAGATAATATCTCTGTCTTGAAGAGTTTGCAAGAGTTTACCCTCTGCACAGATAAAATATAGATCATAAATAAGGGAAGGAAGTGACTATGGGTATGATTTTGGTAGGTATCATTCTATTTTCACATCTTTAGCTTGTTTCCTTAGGAAGGGAAGTGTGCATTGTCACTGTGTCTGTGTCAATATGTTAATAAATCTGTCTGTCTGTTGGTCCCAATATCTTCCTTTTAAATTTGATTGAGGTTTTGAAATTTATTAGGTGGACAGAAGTCTTTGACACTAAGGTCTTCACATGTCACTAGATCAGAAGGCTCCTTATTAATGTTCCCATTAAGAAGAAAAATGCAATGTGAAATGATCTCAAATTAGACACCAGATAATCCACTCTAGTTTAGGTTCTGTTTTCTTTTTTGGGGGGGAGGGGGTTTCCGGTTTTGGTTTTGTTTTTTTTCCCTCTCATCTGCCTCTTCTGATAAAAAGGAGAAAGCTCTGATCACAACTGTTCCTGAAATAGGACATTCTTAATGTGTCCTCAGTATCTATTAAGGGTGACCTTCCACTTCAGTCTTCTGCAATTGAGTTTAAAAACTCATTTGTCATGAGACAAACCTATTTGAAAGCAAACCTAGTTAGCTGTCATGCTCACAGAACCTTTCACTTCCATGTTTACACCAACGTAGCCATTTGTTTTGATTTTTATGTACCTCATGTTATAATTCTATAATATGATTTGCTTACAGTCCAGATCCTGGGAACAAGCAAATCAGAACTTCAGCTTTTTTTTGAAATTTTTCTTTTTTTCCCCAGAAGTACATTTCTATTCCAGCTGTTGCAGAGAGGAGATTAAAAGAACAGAATTGCAGTAAGAATTGCAAGCAATGGATGAGAAGTGAGGAAGGAAGTATGTGCTTCCTTAATGGCTCTAAATCCCAGGTGACCTGGATGTCCCAGCTTTGCAGAGGCCACAAGGATGGTATAATGAGTCCAAGGGACGAATGACCTCCAGGTATCCCTTGCAATGAACCCCAAGTGCAGTTGATGCTTCTCTCAGTTTTTGCTTGATGTCCAGAGCTGCTGTAGCTCTTAACTATATTTTATGCTTAGGTAACTTATCTGTTTCCTCAGTGTCAGCAATCTCACTTTTTCTTGGTGTTCTGGCCACCAGAAAAATGCAGCATCAAAGTTACAGTTTTAATTAGATATGCCCCAGGATGGAGACGGCATGCTGATGGCTTGCTTGGCTTCGTACACAGGACATGTGATGCGTCGGAGTTGTGCTTGCACAACTGAAGGGATGGGAGAAGAGTCATACTGCTTGATGCCTTTCAGCAAGCTGCTGGGCTGTAGTGTGACTGTCCTTCCCCTAGCCTTGTGCCACATTTTGGGAAACAGAGCTGAACTGCATGGCTTTGTTTGCTATGCTCCTTCTGTCTCTCCAAGCCACTTCAGCCCAAACACAGCTGCTTTGATACTGCTGAAGGCAAGCAGCAGAGCCTCAAGCTGGTTGTGGTATCACCCTGGCACATTCTAGCATACGTTAACAATGCAGGAAATGCCAGAGGATTTCAAATAGCGTTAGACTTCTCTGCAGGAATTGCCCCCAGAGTTTTGTTTTTGAAACTACATACTACATTTATCTACACATTCTTGGTTTCACTGTCTTTGCAGCTTCGCAGCCTACCTTTAGGTGGTGTTATCTTTAAAAGTTCTCTGTTTATAGGTGCTGGAGGCCTCCAGCAAATTATAGCTCAAGTTGATGTAACCTACAGAGAGATTACAATTTTGTGGGTGTAAAAACTGTAGACAATTTAACATTAAAATTCTTCTACTTCTTATTTTGAAATTATTGGACAATTTAATGCAATTGCTACACTGTATTTGCAGTAGCTAAATGGAAGCTCCTAGCAGAAATGCTTAGTGTCTGGACAGACAGATAACAGAAAAGCATCAGATGATGACAACAAAAAATAGAGTCAAATAATGTTCTAGAATATCTGAGTTTGTAAAGCCCAATCTAAATGTGAAGATACATGGTGTGCATATAATATACATTTAAAATACACAGAAGATCTAACCCACATCTTTAAAATGGCCCAAGAAAGACTGGCCCATTGGGATCAAAAGGTATTTATTTGTGATAGCTGGAAAACACATGCCTTTGCTACAAATTCAACTGTTTTCTTTGGGACAAAGATAATCTCTTGACAAATCTGGGAGTCCTGTTCTAGAGTAGGGACGGCACTATATTTCAAGAAAAGAGTGTTGGGGGGAAGAGGGGGAGTGCTGAGGGATTTTTAATGAGAAAATGCTGTGCTCCCCTACTTTCATCCTGGGAAGTAGCAGAAGAGTTCAGGTTATTCAGAACTCAGCTGGAAGGCAGCGACAAGCAAGCTTGTCTAATCTCAAGCACTGAGTGTAAAACTGGCGCACTTAGCTCTCGTTTGGATTTGCCTGGTAGCCAAGCTGTATCTTGTGTACATACTCAATGCTCTCTTTTCCACTCTATCTGACACACAAGACACCACTAGTTAGACAACTACAGCAGCGTGCTGAGCAGATACATGAGATGCAA